CAGCGGGCGCGGGAGGCGGCATCACCAGTCTGCGTCCTCCTCAATGTAATAATCAGGGGCGGTACCATCAAAGAGGCCGGGGTCGAGGGACTTCCGCTGCTTCCCTCTGGCGAAGACGCGGGAGATGGAGCCAAATCCCATCTTTTCTTTCTTCTTTTTCCGTTTTTGGTCTTCAAGATCCTCTAGTGACTGAGGGAATCGGGCCGGGGGCACAGGGCGGGGAGAAGAACAAAGCCAAGGTGAGCTGGGGGCTGGGCGGCAGTGATGGGGCAGAGGGGGTGGGATGGCAGCGGGGTCCCCCCCCCACCACCACCAAGGGTTAAGGTGCTGGAGGAAGGTGGGTCGGCTAGGGAAGCTCAGGGACACAGCAGGTCTCGTGGTGTTGGGCACAGGGTGTCACTGCGGTAAGGATGGAAATGCCCAGATGGTGGTTCTGTGTGCCCACTCCCCTTGCGCTTCTCTGGGCTGGCGGCCCATCTGCAGGGCACTGCAGCGAGGGCTCATGGTCCCTGTGATGGGGGAAAGCAGCCCGAAAGCTCCAGAGAGAGGAAGAAGCCAACTTGAGCTCAAGGTGTCAGCCAGAGCGAGGAGCAAGGACCTCGGTGGGGGCTGCGGCGGGCAGTCCTGATTGTGTCAGGGCCCTGGGGTCCAGGGCAAGCCCCAGCTTCTCTGAGCCCAGTGCCGTCATGGGTGACAGGGTGTTAACAACAACGAGGATGAGACAGTCCTGTCCTGAGATGACAGGGGTCGAGATGTGGGTGGTGTCTGTAGAGCTCTGCAAACAGTCACGTGCTTGATGCAGGCAGGGGGTGCCATTCTCTGAATTAGAATGGTTTCCCAAACACATCAGAATCTCCAGAGTTCTAGCCTTACCCCACTTCTGGTGGACCAGAGTCTCTCAGATAAAGGCCCCAGAAACCTGCATGTGAATACCTGTCCCTGGTGGACTCTGGCAGGTGTGTGGTGCATAGACCAACAAGTGTGAACCCCCACTTGTTGCTGGTTCCTGCAGCCTCCTTACTCTGATAAAATGTGCAAATATTACAAATAAATTTAAGAACTCTCCCTGCAGCAAGGGGGCCTCTAAGGGGCTGGGTCACCAGCCTTTGGCTGTCAGAGGACTCAACTGCGTCAAAAGATGGAAGATATGTGATGTGCTCAGTTAAGTGTGCAGGTGTGGAGGGGACATGGAAGGGCACTAAGCCTGGCTCATGTACCAGCCCATGTGTGATTTGGTGATCTAGCAGGACTCCTCTGCCCTGGGTGCCCACGTTTGGAAATGGGGACATCAAGGGTCCAGGAGAACAGGGATGAAGTCGTGGTCAAGGTTGGGGGAGAGGGAGGGAGATCTGAGTAGCCAGGGAGGATGCACCTACCTGTACAATGGGGTTGTGCAGGTTCTTCTGAACTGGGCCGGGACTGTCGCCCTGTGGCCAAAGGAGAAGAGGAAGATGAAATAGCAGAGACACAACACAGGAGAGCAGAGGTGGCCCGTGGGGTTTTCCATGGAAGGAAGCCAGCCCTTAGGGACAGCCCTTGCCTCCATCGTAGGGAGCCTAACCCCACCCCCCTGAAGCAGACATTCTCAGGAGGTACAGTGATGGGACCTGGGGTTCACGTGGTGGAGAGGTTTCCAGGGCTAGGGGTCTGGATCTGAGGTCTTTGCCTGCACTAGCCTTTCGACTCTCAATCTCCTCTGGCCAACATTTCAGTCATTTAAAGGCATCTGAGTTCCGGCCTCAATTGGCACATTGAGTTAGGACGGGAGCTTGGTTAATCTTGGTGGTTTTCAAAAAGAAATATAATTTTATAGAGAAAAGCAGAATAATAAAGAATTCCAAGCTTGAAAAACTCAGGAGGTACAGTAGTCTCTAACTTTCCTTAAACCATACAATGACTTTCTTATGGGGGGTGGGGGGAGGGTGGCTGGCAGGAGTCATTAGCCTGATTTACAGGTATAAAGACTCTAGACAGTATATCATGGAGTTAATTACAAGGACTGTGGTTCCTGCTGGCTGAGTTCTCCTCTCTTGGGTGTACAAAGCCTTCACTACATTCCAGAATGAGTCACTTGCCTGGGGAAACAAGAGCGTTTGGATTAAAAAAGTCATTACTCGGGAGACCCCTGATGGTTATTTCCAGAATTGCAGGCAAATGCCTTTGAAAGAAAAGTATTCAGTATGTGTCACTTGGGCCAGTACCAATGAGCTCTCTCCAACCTCTGTGCCGAGTTCCTCTCTTCTGCTCTAAAGGAGTAGCCAGAATATGAGAGGATGGAGAGATCCTTGATTCAGCCTAGGCTCTTCTTGGTGCCAGGTCAGACACCTGAGAACCTGGAGCTATTTTCAGGCTCTTTCTGGCTTACCGGGACATACATCAGCTGAGATGGGGAATGACAGTGGTGAGAGAGGACAGGGATGGAGCCAATGGTTGTTTCGTCCTTCATCCCATCTCAAGGTTTGCCAACAGCATCCGTTTGGCAGGCAGCTAAGATAGGTTGCCCAATTTTGCCTAATTTATGGCAAAGAGAATGGGGCCAGTGCCCATTTATCAGATAGGCCCTTAGGTGAATAATTGCCTTATTGAAGCATCCACTTCTTGGTGGCAGGGCCCTATCTCTCTGAGGAGAGATAAATTGATGAGCTAGACCTGCCACTGGTAGCCGGAATGTCTCAAGACCAAGCTGGGGACAGGCTAGGCCCATGCCAAGGCAATTTAAGGGGTCTTTGCAGAACCCTTTCTGCAGAAGGGGTTTTCCTGCAGCACTTGGGATACCACAGGAAGAGAAAATTCAGCCCGTGGGAGGTTCTCATCTGCAAGGGAGGCTGCTCTGCAGGGGCATCCTGCCCCAGCCTGGGCCTTTCCTTCCCACTCTGCACTGAAGGGCGCTGCTGGCTGGCTGTGGTAATGCCACATGGCCCTCAGAACTACAGAGCAGACCCGGTGTCCCTCTGGGGGCTCGCCTTGGCCCTGTCAGCCAAGCCAGGCTTTGCCACGAGGCTGTGTCCTGGGACAAGAAAAGAACAAATGTCTCCAATTCAAGTCCTCATTAAAAAATAAAACCAAAACTTCAGCAGGGCATTTGGGACAGTCCTGCCTCCACCGTGGGGAGACGGCCCCCGCCCCCTGAAGCAGGCACCCCCAGACCCTCTCCCCACCCCGATGTGGGCAGGACCAGGCCATCTATTTTAAGCTTAATCTCAGCTACTTTTATAAGCGCGTCTCTTTGCTGTTGTAGATGGGAAAAAAAAGTTTCCATGATCCTAACTCATATATAGGAAAGCTATTGCTTTTTATAAATTGATTTTCAACCAGTACCGTATGTACTTGCTTATTATTAGTTTGAATAGCTTTGCAGGTTATTCTCTTTGAGTTTCCGGGTAGATAATCATATCATTGGCAAGTAACAGTTATTTGGTGTCTCTTTCCCACTCTGTTCACCTCATTTCTTTTTTATTAGCTTTCTCTCTGGTTAATAAAGCCCTATTAGCAGAATTTTTGAGAAAGCCTCTCGGACATCTGAAGACTTAACTCTCCCCACTTCTGTCTTCAGACCATGGGCTGGGGGGAGGGCATGGGGGGGTAGAGGAGCCCTCCCTCTGGTCAGCCCTACGATGGAACAAGCCAGGTTTCCCGGCACAGCCCCTACCTGGCTCCCTGCAGTCACTTGGCCCACCTGCGTTCACCCCTCACTCCTGGCGAGCCTGTCTATCTGCCCTACTGTCAGGAGCCAGGCGATCGGGGACATGTGTCTCTTGGGGGCCGGCTGTCGGCATGCAGTCAACAACCGTTGGATTAAATGAGCAACAGACTCAGGACAAGCATACGGGGCTCGTCTCCGGAGGCCGAGCGCGCACAAGCCCCTAAGCTCGAAACAGCCCAGGTCTTTCCTGGGCGAAGGGTCCTGCTGGCCCCACAGGGGACTGAGGTGATGCTGTAGGGCCGTGTCTGGGAGAGGAGGCCCGGGGTCCCCGACACAGCGCCCGAGGGGTCCCGGGGCGCACAGACCCCTCGCCGACCCGGGCCCGCCTTCCTCTGGACTTTCCTTGCCCTCCCGGACACAAGGCGCAAACGGGCCTCCTCTCTCTCTCCCCACAGCCATCTCTTCTTGCAAAAGGAAAGAACAGAACAGGAAATGCCTCCGCCAGAGTGCTCCCTGGGTGGACGAGAGGAAACAGCGGGTACGTCTTCACCCCTCCAGCCCGCCCCGAGGTGCCCGCAGGGCCCAGGCCAGGCCCCACTCCTGTTGGCCTTACGTTGCAGAGGGAGTGTGTCCGGTGTCGAGGGGAGTTGATGTCGCTGGGCGTGGACGACCGGTCGCCTTCCGCGGCAGACGCGTCGGAGATAACGGAGGGCTGCCGGGAGTGGCAGGGGCTCACCCTGACCGCTGCGAAGAGGGACAGCTGGTCAGTGGGGGCAGAGGGCGCGTCCCCGCCTTGACTGCCTTGCGGGGGAGCACAGCCAAGGCCCCCGCTATTCGGTGAGGGGGCTGATGCACAGAAGAGGCCTGCCCAGCCCCCGGCCCTTTATCCACAGCCCACCGGTCACTGAACAGCTCCCACGGCCTCTGGCGCTCCCCAGACGTGCACAATCCTGGCTGCTGGTCAACACCAGCCTCCCGAGCAGGCAGCCTGGGGGTCACCACTGGCCCCCCATTCTCCCCGTACTGCCACTCATCAGCAGCCACCGAAACCAAACCTGGGCATTTCTCGCCACCCCCACTGCCACCGCGGCCAAGGCATCACTGGCTGCCCCCACAAGGCCACACACCCTCCCTCTACTCCTCGCCTGCAGTGGGAGCCAGCCACTGGGTCACCTGAGTGGAAGGAGAGGCCGGATGGATGCGGTCCTGATCCCCCCAGACTCAGCTCGCCCCACACTGAGCTGAGCCACCCAGCCTCTGTGCCCTTCACCCCCCCCCCCCCCGCCTCTGGCACGGCCGGCCCCGCTGCCTGTCGGGCCTTTTCTCCATTCAGGTGTCAGTGGGCCCAGAGGCCTCCCCGGCCAGCTGCCTGCCCCTGGCGCCTGACCTGCTGTCTGTGTTTCCCACAATGCCCTGCTTGTGCTGATCTCTCTGCCTGCAATAGTGCCCCGCTGGAATAATGCTGTGCTGCTTTTATTTTTCATGTGTGTGCTGTCTTTACCTACGACGTCACCCTGTGCCTTCCTCACGCCAGGCCGAGTTCACAGTGCCTGGCCAGCTTGGAAGGCAAGCCCAGAAGGCCCTGAGTCCTCCAGCCGTTCCTTCCTGTCTGCAAAGGAGGGGAAAAACACTCTGTCCGGCCCAGCTGACTGGGGGTCTGCTCTGTGTGGGCATGTGAGCAGTGGGGCTGCAGTAAGGAGACAGGCCTGGCCTGACCAGAGGGTCTGACAGAGCAGCGGGGGCCCAGAGTCAGAGGCTGAGTTCACAGGCGGGCGACGGCAGGACCCAGGGCTCCAGAGACCAGGGGCTATTTCTACCCTGCACCGTCACGCAGAGGTGGCCACCACTGGCAGCAGGACAGGAAACACAGCTGGGTGGGCAGCAGGTGTGCAATAGGGTAGTGAGGGCACGCGGGGGGGGGTGTGGGGGGTTGGCATTTATACAGTGGACAGTGGGTGCCCAGAGACTGGACCCCTCCCCACCAAGTACCTGGAGACATCTGGGACAGTCACGTCAGACCCTGCATCTTGGGACAGGGCGAAGTTGTCAATCAAGGAGTTCCCCTGCCCCCTGTCAAGGACGCCCAGCTCGTGACCAGGCTGGCCAACCAGCATACCCACTCTCCCTGGACACAGTGACATTCTGGGGAGGCATGTGATCCAGGCGGCCAGTGAGAGACCATGGGATTTGATATGGACACAGAAAGTTTTTCTTTCTCAAAACCGTGACCACTTAATTAAAAGCCTGGTGACTGTTAAAATTAAAAACTTCTAGTGACTCTTTGCTTCTGGAAAGAGATGAATTAAAGATGAGGCCACGTGGAGACAGGCAGGGCTGAGAGAGGGAGACAGTAAGACAGGCGCCCAGATATTAACTGAATTGCTGGATCCAGCCTTGCCTGAATTCCATCTCTCAGATTTCTCAGTAACAGGAGTCCCGAACTCTGCTCCCGCCCCTCTAAGCTGCTGCAGTTTAAATAAAGAAGCTGCTTTCCCTGCTGGGTCGGAGGCTCTCCTAAGGAGCCCCCACGACTGCTCTGGCTGGGGCCCGGGGACAGGACTCACCTTGCCGGTCTGCAGGGTGCGGGGGGTGTGAGTGGTAGAGGGTCTGTTGGCTCTGCCGGATGGCTGCGGTCAGCGGAAGATCTGCCTGCACCACCCACTCCTGATTGCCGTTGAGCACCGTCTCGCCCGGCATGGCGAGTGAATGTCGCTTGGGCACATCCTTGGTCAGCGTTGCTAAGGACTGCTTGGCCTGGCGAGAGAGCGGGAGACAAGCAGGGGTGTCGTGACTAGGGGCCCCTCGGCTGCTTGGTAGTCACCCACCATTGCCATCCGGTCTGTGCCAGGGCTCGGCTCTGCAGTGTGTCCCCGCCAGGAAGGGGCACCCTCATTGCAGGTCTCCCCTGAGCACTCACTGGGGGGTACCCTCAGTACCTGCCAAGACCAAGGTGAGTGACACAGGGGTCCCAGCGGGCTTTCACGCGGGCCAAGGACCGGCTGGGGTTGTGGGGGAGTCAGAAGGCCGCCTTCGGCCCCATCACCATCGCTGCCCTCAAATTCGACCTGCGACCTCCTTTTACAGGTGCTGTGATGTGGGGGACCGGCCAGGCCTCCCCACCTGGCTGTCGGGGCCACAGCTGAGAATGGGGGGACCCAAGGAAGCCCAGGGCAAGGGCGGCCCCGGGTCGGGGCAGGCAGCTCTCTCCTGTCTCCCTCACACCCCGCCCAGGACAGATGTGGTTTTATCAGAAGCAATCTCAGATTTGTGAGCGGGAAAGGGCGCACCTCAGCAAGGCTTCCCCACAGCCACTTGACTTCCCTGCCGGCAGCTTTGCCACTAGGGGTCAGCATTGCACAAGGAGACTCAGGAGCGCCCAGCGATCCCGACCCATGGGGAGCCCTCTGAGCATACGCAGAGGTAAACTGAGGTCACACAGCTAGGAAGCAGTGGGGGCTGGATTTGAAGCCAGAACCCACCGTTGTCACCGGGACACGGAGCCCCTCAGAGCCACGTGGGCCTCCCCACCCACAGCAGCCCCTGCACACTCTCTCCCGGTCACGGCCCTTGAGCGCCCGGTGACAAGCCGTGAGGTCACGGAGGCTGCCCGGGCACCTCTCAGGGAGGGCAGGTGGCCCAGAAACTGTCACTCCCACCTGGCCCCAGTTAAGGGGCAACGAGGCCTAGAGAGGCCCAGAGCGTGGCCGGGGCGGCAGACTCAGGCTCTGGGAGGCGCCCCTGGGCCAGCCACGGGGGCCAGATGCGTGGGTGGGGGACAGCTGTCCCCCACGCAGGCTGGGTGTCGCCACAGAAGGTGCTTGGGAGGATTTCGAAGCTGGCTTTTGATTAGAAAAATGTGCAGTTTTTCCTTGTTGACCCAAGGAAGCGCTTTTCTACAGCAGCACATGTAATGGTGGGAGGTGGTG